GGGATTCACTCGGTCATTTAACCTGCTGAGACACCAGCGAATTCACTAATAAACACAGTTGAAGGTTTTTTTTTTTGCTTATTCACGCCATGGAATGAGCAGTGGTCTTGAGCAGTTGAAATATAAATAAAATTGTCTATTTGCAGGACTTGGTTTTGGAAATGATCACATCATTGAACATGCACACATTCACATTGGGTAGAGACTGTCCATCTGCACAGTGTGTGAACAGGGATTTCTTGGTTCATCAGAACTGGTTAATCAGTTAATCATTTTTTGGGGTCTGTTTCTGATGCTGTTTGGAAAGACCCCAAGTCTGGTTAACTTTTGGGGATAAAAAAACACAGTATCAATTAGCTTTCAGGTAAATGCATGACAATCAAGTCTACCTCATATCTCTGAAGCAGATATTAATTTCTTTTGAAGGGCTCTCCATCTTACCGACCTCCCCTATACTTACCTACAACAAGTGTGACGATCTCATGGAGTTGCTTTGTGACTAAGAATGAGACAATCTGATCAGCTGCCTCTGCTGCTTTCTTCCCTACCGCTATGTCAAGCTGTCTCTTGAACTCCCCTTGCTGCAGTTGTGATCGTGCATCATTGCACAGCCTTGGCCTTTCATTGCATATAGGGCCTACAGTTTATGAGTTTAATTCTTTCCTTCCATCAACAGCAGTAGAATATTGCTCTAAGAAAATTTGCAACATCATGGCCTGGCATATTCCCCGACTTACCTATTACCATCAAGCCAGAAAATCAATGCTGGTTTCAATTGAGAATTCAGGAGGGCATGTCAAGGGCAGGAATACTTAAAAATGAGATGATGGGGAAGTGCCAGTGTTGGACTAGGTGGAAAATGTCAGAAGTCAGACGACATCAGGTGAGAGTCCAACACATTTATTTGAGATCACAAGCTTTTGGAGTATTGCCTCTTTGTCAAATGATGTGAAAAATGAGATATCAATTTGTTGAAGTTACCAAAGAGGACTACTTGCATACTAAACAGTAAAAGCAGCAAATTATAGACACAGCTAAGCAATTTGATGAAAAACAGAGCAGATCTAAGATCTGCAGTCCAGCCACATCCAGTTGTGAATGGTGGTAGACAATTGGACAACTCACTGGAGGAAGAGGCTCCACAAATATCCCCATCTTCAATGATGGAAGAGCACAGCACATCAGTGCAAATGATATGGCTAAACCATGCACAACAACCTTCACCCAAAAGTGCTGAGTGGGTGATTCATATCAACTTCCACCAGTAGCCCCCAGCATTACACATGCCAGTTTTCAGCCAATTCATATCACTCTACTTGATATCATGAAATGGCTGGATGCAGTGGATACTGTCCTCACAACATTCTGGCAATAGTACTGGAGGCTTGTGCTCCAGAACTTGCTGCTCCCCAGGCCAATCTGTTGCAGTACAGTTACAACACTGGCATCTACACAACAATGTAAAACATTGAGATAACAAGGTGTAGAGCTGGATGAACACAGCAGGCCAAGCAGCATCAGAGGAGCAGGAAAGCTGATGTTTTGGGCCTAGACCCTTCTTCAGAAATGTGAAACTTTGCCCAGGTATGCCTTTCACACGTAAAACAGGACAAATCCAATGTTGCCCATTACTACCTTATCAGTCTTTCTCTCAATCATCACCATAGTGATGGAATATGTCATCAACAGTGCTCACAAGCAGCACTTGCACAGCAATAACATGCTCACTGACACCCAGTCTGGATTCCATGAGGGCTGCCAGCTCCTCACTACATTACAGCCTTGGTTCAGCCATGGACAAAAGAGCTGAATTCCAAAAGTGAGATGAGAGTGACAGCCCTTGACATCAGGATTGAATTTGATTGAGTTTGGCATCAAACATCCCAAGAATAACTGGAATCAATGGAAAGTGGGGAAGTGCTCTTTGCTTGTTGAAGTCATACCTGGCACAGAGGAAGATGGTTGTGATTGTTGGAGGTCAGTCATCTAATCATCTTCAGCTGCCTGGTCAATGACGTTGCCTCCATTACAAGGTCGGAAGTGGGAATGTTCACCAATGATTGCACAATGATCAGCATCATTTGTGACTTCTCATGTACTGAAGCAGTCGGTTCAAATGCAACAAGACCTGGTCAATATCATGTGGCAAGTAACATTCACGTAGCACAGATGCCAGGCAATTACATTTTCCAACAAGGGGCAATCTAACCATCAACCTTTAGCATTGAATGTAGTTAGCATCAGTGAATTCCCTAGTAATAAAATCCTAGGGGGTTCTATTGATAAGAAACCCAACTGAATTCGCCATTCAACTACAGCAGCCATAATAACAGGTCAGAATAGGAACACTGCAGCAACTAACTCACTCCCGACTCCCCATCATCTAAAAGGCAGAAGGTAGGAGTGTGATGGAATACTCCCCACTTGCCCGGATGGGTGTGATTCTCACAACTTCTGGTTCGAGTCTGCAGCTGGTTGCCCTGGAAACCTTGGCTCGAGGTGGGGAAAGGGAACAATGGGTGGGGGCGGGGCTACTATACCTGCGCTCCTGACCGGTTGCCCGGAAACCGGGAACGTCACCGCCCAGCCTAGCGATTCCTATTGGCTGCTTCAGGCAGGCCCCATCTTCTACTGTTTGACGTCACAAAACGAAGTTTTCCAATGAATTTGTTACAGACACAGTAGGAACTGCCGATGCTGGAGAATCTGAGACAATAAGGTGTAGAGCTGGATGAACACAGCAGGCCAAGCAGCACCAGAGGAGCAGGAAGGCTGACGTTTCGGGCCTAGACCCTTCTTCAAATGTCGGCTTTCCTGCTCCTCTGATGCTGCTTCGCCTGCTGTGTTCATCCAGCTCTACACCTTGTTATCTCAATGAGGTTCAGAGTGAAAGTTTCTCTCTGCAACATCTGGGAACAAAGCAATGTCTCCCTTTTCCCATTTCTTTTCTAATCCAGGGAGAGAGCGAGACAGAGACAGATACGAAATGAAAACCGAAAGAACTGCAGATGCCGTAAATCAGGAACTAAAACAGAAGTTGCTGGAAATACAGGTCTGGCAGCATCTGTGAACATTTTCTGAAGAAGGGTCCAGACCCGAAACGTCAGCTTTCCGGCTCCTCTGATGCTGCTTGGCCTGCTGTGTTCATCCAGCTCTACACCTTGTTATCCAAGAGTTAACGTTTTTGGGTCCGGTCACCCTTGAAGGTTCAAAGATAGATGCTGTTCATTTGCAGAAATTAAAGGGAGTGTACGTACATCCAAGGAAGGAGCATACTCCGGAGAGTTTGCTTCACGTATGTCACTCTTAAATTTAATGCCGTTATTTGCTCTCTCAGCATCACACATTTATTTCCCTGCCTAAAAGAGTTGCCTCTTTCCTCATTTTCACGATTATATGATTTCTATCAGAGATGGTCAGGATTTGAGGGACAGTAAATTAAAAATCATGCATTGTATATAACACAGATATAGAATCCAATTATAAATGCATATATGTTTAGGGTGGGTGCCAGGATGAAGATTTTCAGGTGTGTGTTTCCGAGACAGCAGGAAGTAACCAGCATCTGTTGATCAGCATGACTTTTCTCCTTCTGGAGAATTAATTACAGTGAAGTGAAAAGGAAGGGAGATTGTGTGGGGAGATGACTTGCAGATTTTGAGGATTAAAAGAGAATCTTGCAGAGGACCTAGAATTGTCTGTTCTGAATTCTTGCCCCACATTGTTAGTAATAACTTTAAAGAACTCTTTTTACAGGACAGTATAATGGAAAGATTTGCAGGCAGATATCACAAAGAGAAATCCTGTCGAAGTCTGACAGTCACTTAAATAACCAGGGCCAGAATATCATTTGTCTTTGAGTCTACAAGGAGAGTTGAGATTTGTCTGTTTAATCTGCTAGAATAGATTTTAACCATCAGTTTGAATGATAAACACTGAGATTCACACAACTGAGTGAGAGTGTTCCACTGTAGCAATGATAGAAAGAGACTTAACCATTCACCACATCGAGTAAACGTACAAGTGTCCTGAGTGTAAACAAAGCTTCAACTGATCATTTGCCTGGACAGCCACATCATGGAGAAACCATGGAAATGTGGGAACTGTGGGAAGGGATTCCTTATCCCATCAACACTGGAAACTCATCAATGCAGTCACAATGGAGAGAGGCCACTGGCTGTACATGTGGGAAGGGATTCATTCATTCATTCATCTGCCCTACTGACACGTAAGCTTGTTCACACTGGGGAGAGACTGTTCACCTGCTCCAAGTGTCAGAAGGAATTGAGTTAGTCAGGCCACCTGCTGTTACACAATTGTGTTCATAGTGGGGAGAGACTATTCACCTGTTCTGTGGGTGAGAAGGGATTCAGTTAGTCATGCCACTTTATGTTGCAGTATCACATTCATATTGGGAAGAGGCTTTTCACCTGCTATCAGTGTGGAAATGGTTTCAGTGATCCATCCACGCTGCGGAGACACTAACGTATTTACCACAGGGGAGAAGTCATTCACTTGCCCAAGTGTGGGAAGAGATTCAGTCATTCATCTGCCCTGGTCACACATAGGTGAATTCACAAATGACTCCAGGGGTTGGATTCAGCTGTTATTGCTGCTGTGAATCACATCTAGGACTAAGCCATGTTCATTCTGACAATAGGTGAAGTGGGAGGGTCAGAGGGTTATTTTCTGCTGGACTTGCCACACTTAACAATTTGCTTCCAGTGAGGCTGGTGTTCCTTGATCCTGGGACAGTGCATTCCCACTGAAATAATGACCAAAAGCTAATGTAGCACATCTACTTTATCCTGGATAGGAAATCATGTTCTTTCTCTTTCACTGCAGGTAGATCTTCAGTAAATAGTTGCTTCAGGTCTATTGAAGCTGCAGCACAGGGCTCGTTGTGTCGGCTCAATTAGTCTGTGTCAGTGTGTATGTTCGACATGAGCTACCGCTAACCTTGCTTCATTTCTCTCCTCCCTCCACCCACTGGCATATCCCTCTGTTCCAGAAGCTGCCAAACAGTGGCGCAGGGTGAGCTGTGCCACTGCATCCACTGGCCTCACTCGAATCTGAATGGTCCAGCCCAATTGCTGTGGTTCACCAAAGGCCACAACTGACATCATCAAGCCTGAAGAAGCAACAGCGAGGACGAGCCCTGTATGGTTGTGCCTCAAAATGGGGACAGTGTTCAATTGCTGAAATGATTGAATTCTGCTGAGTCCAGAAAGGTATAAAGTGTTGAGGAAGCAAGCTGGGTAAGTCAGAGGATTGTCACCTGGATCCAATATTGGTCCTGGTTCAAACAGCAAATTGTAGATCAGAACATTTGGGTCCAAGGTGGAAGTGATCACTGCCTGTCAGCCTCTCTTCCCTGGCCGTGTCTGTACATGGGTAACCTTGGAGATGGAGCTTTCTGGGGAACCATTTGCTGATTTTGGCTTCGATTAGTTTGATTTTGTTCTCATATTTGGGGAAACAGGAGGAAAGAATATTCCACCAAAAAAAATCTCAAATTGTCACTTGTTCATTTCTGTGCCTTGCAGCTTGTGATCCTCATACTGTCATTTCTTTTCATAGGTATTCGATGGAGATAATGTACAGACTTGAAATAAACAACAAATCAATATCTGAGAAAATGACTCTTCTGGGCTTGGAAAAATCATGGGCCTTTGACTGTAGAGGGAGAAATGCTCTGTCTGTGGAAAATGATTATTTGAAAATTTTGATAGTTCAGATTAACTGATCAGAGTGTGAGAATGTGGAACGATGGAGTGTCTAACTGCCAAACTGGAATGAACAGACAGTCCCACGGGAGTGGAGGGAAAAGAGTGTGACAGAAAATGTATCAAGCAAAGCTAAAAGAAAGGGAAGGAATGGGTTCACGATTTGAAGGTGTTGAACTCCATATTAAGTCCAGAAGAGATCGTTCCCTCTGGGGCCTGATCTGAACTATCAACATCCTTTCTCCCCCGGCACACCAACCCCTCAAACTCCAGCCCACCCACTCCTTCACACATCACTTTAGCTCTGTTGAAGAGTTATCTAGACTCGATACGTTAGTCTGCTTTCGCTCCACGGATGCTGACTGACCTGCTGTGATCTCCAGCACTTTGTATTTTCAGTACTGATTCCAGCATCTACAGTAACTTGCTCCAACCCTAAGTCTTTATGACTGATATCAGAAAACGTTTTGGCTAAGCAGGGTGTCTCGGTAAAATCAGTGACGGCCCACATATCCTGTGTGTCTGGATGGGGATCTTGATCCAACCACCCTCCGCCCCACTCTTTTCATCTACCTTCAAGAGACAGAGCTCCAGAGGCTTCATGGGGACTACAACTCCCACAATCCCTATCGATGCGGGTCATGTGGAAGGCTCCACGTGGGTGGGAAACTGGGATTCGCACGTGTTCAGGGTATTTTTTTTGGGACGGGAACATGTCTCGTTAAATGATTGGTTCGTGATCACACCACCCTCTTTTTCTATTGGCAGAAGGTTTCAATCGTCATGGGGTCATGGCAGCTGCTTCCCCACGTGGATCCGTGTTCCACTCCAATTGCGTCGTAATTCTGTAATGTGACTAACAGAAAGAGCTGGAGGACTGGAAGCAAGCTTGACCTCCAGAGGACTGGAAGCAAGCTTGACCTCCAGCTAATTAGAGCTCCCCTATTGTCTGAGCACAAATGCGGGACAGTCCAGCGAAACTGTTGCTGCTGCACTGTCTGAAAGAAGATTGAGCTGAACTTAAATTCTTCCTCTGTCCATCACCAGTGTGCAAGCAATTTTTCCCAATTTCTTTTTTTTAAATTCTGGTGTTAAATTATTTACTTGCAGCGACTGAAAGGAAAGGAAGTGAAGTCTGGGAGAGAGTCCAGGAAAAGAAATGGTGATCACTTAGATTTGGCTGTTCTGAATTTCTCACCGAATTTCTCATCTAATCGTGATGAATTTTATATCTCTTTTTACATTATGTTAAAAAGGCAAGATTTACCCAACAATCTCAAAACGACCATCACGTGAATAACTGGCACTTGAATATCCTTGGCTTGAAACCATAGATCCAGAATATTTGTCTGTTCTATCTGCTTCAAAATATTTGAAACATCAGTTTGTCTGGAAAAGTACTGAGGCATACACACCGAAGTGAGAGTTTTCTAGTGAACTGAATACCTTCATCCAATCTCCCAGCCTGAAGAAACATTGCACCGTTCACAGTAGGAAGAGACCATGCCAGTGTTTCTGGGTGGACAAGGATTCAACTGACTGTAAAACTTACAGAGACACAAAGCTGCACATGAAATGGAGAAACCATGGAAAGGTGAGGACCATGGGAAAGGATTTCATTCCCTGTCAACGCTGGAGTTTCATCGACACAGTCACAGCAGGGAAAGACCGTTCACCTGTTCTGAGTGTGGGAACGGATTCCCTGATTCATCTGCTCTGCGGAAACAGCAGCGTGCTGCCAGTGGAGAGAGGCCATTCACCTGCTCCGAGTGTGGGAAGCAGTTCAGAGGTTCATCTACACTACAGAAACACCACCAGGTTCATACTGGCAGTAGCTGTTTATCCGTTCTGAATGTTGGAAAGGATTCACTCAGTCATTGGATTCACTCAGTCATCGGATTCACTCAGTCATCCAGTCTGTGGAAGCATAAGAACGTTCACAAATGATCATAGGACTTGGATCTGCGGTTAATCTGCAATATTTGAGCTGCTAGACAGGCCTACAACTTCTACCATCCAAAAGAACAAGTGCAGCAGTTACATGGGACTGTTACCACCTGCATGCTCCCCTCCATATCACACACCATTCTCATTAACAGGATGTTAGAAAGGAAGGTTTGCAGACAGAAGTCTCAAAATGACCTTCACATGAAGATCTAATGGAGTCACTGAAATCACTGGGATTTGAATATCATGCTCCTCCATATTGGCTGTTCCTTCGTTGTCAATGAGTCAAAATCCTGGAACTCCTCCCTAACAGCATTGTGGGTGATCCTACACCACAAGGACTGCAAGTCCCAGAAGGCAACTCACCATCACTTTCTCAAGGAGGACAATGGGATGGGCAATGAATGCTGACATAGACTTTGATAGTATACATCACGAATTGATTTTAAAAATGAGGGAAAATCACATCCAGGATGGAGCTGCATGCATTTAGACAGTGGGTGAAGTAGGAGAGTCAGAAGGTTTCCATTTGCTGGACTAGCCGCTGTCACCACTTTGCTTTCAGTGAGGCTGATGCTCTTTGAGCCTGGGACTGCACATTGATACTGAAAATACCCCTAAAAGCTGCTGAAGTACATTTACTTTATCCTGAATAGTAAGTAATGTTTTCCTTACCATTCCAATTAGATCAGAAATAAATATGTTTGTCACTGTAGGCCAGTGCCAGGCCAATCGCCTCAGTTGGTCTATGTCAGTATTAATGCTTCACATGATTTTCCACCCTCCCCTCTGCATCTCCCCCATCAGCAGATCCTGCTAGACCTTTCTTCCTCATGTATGTATTCAGCTTCTCCTGAAATATATTCCTACTGTTCACCTCAACCACTCGCTGTGGGAATTAATTTTTGATACTCACTCCTCACTGGGTAAAGAGGTTTCTCATGAAATCCCTTTTGGATTATTGAAGCCCTTCGTCATTTTAAAGGCTTCCATCAGGTCACCCTTCAGGATTCTCTTTTCTAGAGAAAAGCTCCTCAGCCATTCCTGATGTTTATATGTTTTCACTTCTGATAATACCTTTGTGAATCCATGTAATAATGTTTTCCAGTGCCTTTATTTCCTTTCGCTAAATGGAGATGACAAATGTTGACGTGCTCACAGTGGAGTCAAACTTAGCTTTGAAATAAGTGAAACTTCATTTTCCTCCTTTTTCAGCTCTATTCCGATAGAAAGGGGCCTAAATATGGGTTAGGCCTTTGCAGAATGATGTTAAGTTCCATGAGCTATCTGAGACAGGAATTAGGGGTATTTCATCAGGGATTTGGGACTTCAGTTGGTTGGAGTAACTGGAGCAGCTCATCCTGTTCTCTTTAGATCATAAACTCACTGTTGCAGAACAGGGAGGGAGGCCATTCAGCCCTCTGAGGTCATGCTGGCTCTGTTTGGAACAAGTGTCGGTCCATGTTCTATCCCGATAACCCTGCAGGTTTATATCTGTCAAGGACCTTCCAATTAAAAAATAAGTAATGAATATACTGTTCAGGATGAGAAATGAACTGGAATAATTCATTTTAGATGTAGTTGAGGACAACCTTCCAATCTAGTATTCATCTATATTCTATGTGAAGTGTGGAAAATTGAGATGATTTAGAAAAATTGATATCTTTCCTTCGGAATGTTTGCATTGTTTGCCAATAAATTTTGTTTTGGGAAACCGCATTTGATAATCTGGTCATGACCTGACAGATCAGGATCACACAGGGAGATGTTGAAACAGCCATGCCTTTTGATAAATGCACCTGAAAGTTAATATGTACCGTGACATTGGGCTATCGGTAATGTGCAGATGCTACTTGTTATACACGAAAGAAATAACATGTAAATTCACGGTAAACCCGCACTGCAGAGAGGGTCCCAAACACATGCAGCTCCTTGAGAAACAGCCGGACATGAAATGGTTAATGTGGCCGGGGGTAATGAGAGAGCATTGTGACATCATCGAGACAGCATTGTGACATCATCAAGACAGTTACACGTTCTCCCGAGAGAAACTGACCTGAAACAATCCGGAGAGAATTCAACCCACAGGGAATGGTCAGAAAGTCAGTGAGGTTCATT